GGAGTATTTATTCCAATTACTAATTCGTTGAAACATCTAATACATTTGTATTTAATACAAATTTTCTTATTACTCTAGTAACAACTTTATTGTATATGCTTCTTGTTAGAATCTGCATATGGCTGTTTTATTAAAAGGAAAAATTCCAATATTTTGAAGTCATTTTTTCAAATAATCTTTTCTTTTAAATGAAATCTAAAATATTAAAAATTTTGTTTTCACCATAATCTATAAAATTGCCACTATTTACATTTCATGAAACATTTATATATTTATTATAAAACTTACTTAAATAGATTAACACCATCTTTTTTTTATTACGACAATTTTGATGCAATAAGATACTGGCATTTTTACATAAATTTAATGACCATACACACACTGATGCTGTAAGATTCAACAAGTACACATCATATATACAGGACTGCCGCCTCGCATACAACTGGAAACCGCATGTGACGCAAGTCCAAAGTTCTAATTAGCAATCTAGTTTAGTATAGACATCTATGTGTCGAACATTAACAATTCATTGTTAACAATTCATTGTATAAACTTGCAACTTTTTAAAAGACATCTTTCTCGCCTAAGCGCATGGACTACGCATGGACTGCATCATCTCAAGAGCAGTGTTGTTATCAGGGACGCTTTTTCGCGCATGCGTATTTAGATGCGGGTTTAATGAAATTTAGAAGAAAAAGATATTACTTGGTTTTTTACTGAAATTTTTTATATTATAAAATTTTTTATATTAAATTGTTTATAATTATATAAAATTGTAAAAATTATATAAAAATTATTTAATTATATAGAATTTTAAATATAATTAATATTAATAACCTACAATAAAATTAATTTTTTAACAAAGTTATATTTTTGTAAATGTAAGAGAAAAAAGTATATAATAAAACACATTTGTGTGTTTAAAATAAAATATTTTATTTGAAAATTACGAGCATGCTTTTTAATAGTCCCTTTTTGATTATGTATATCTATATTATATTTATGTTAACAAATAACAAATAACAAATAACAAATAACAAATAATAAATAATAACATTTACCTTTAATAACAATTACTAATATTTAAATATTTACCTTACTTAACCTATCTCATCCTAGCATGGAGTACGCCAAAATTTTAATGTCTATTATATATCAGGGAGAAGTCTGAGAGCGGCCATGGTCGCGATTTACTTGTTACCTTATTTTGAAGCGCCAATGTCCACGATCGTGGACGTTGAACTACATAGCCATGTCCACGAAATTGGTCGGTAACACGACTATGTCCACGATTTTGTGGTTCTGTTCCGTGTTATGTCCACGATTTTGTGGTTTTTTTCCATGCTATATCTAGAAAATGTCGATTCAAATCTTCAATTAATGTAAAATATATCTGTAACAAATATGTAAAAGAAAAAAAATATATATAAAATAAATTTATAATATACACGCGTTGCGTTAATTATTTTTGCCTTTTTCGCGTTTATTCAAATTTTATATTATGTTTTATTAATAATTATGTGTTTTATTAATAATTGTGTTTTATTAATAATAATGTAATAAAAGATCATTGTCCGAATACATTGTTAAAACAATCAGTTTTGAGAGATGTAGTCCATGCGTTCTCATGCGCTGTGTGGCATGGTGGGGGAAACCATTTCTATGCGCGCATGAACTGCATATGGAGTGAAACGAAACAACCTTATGCGTTTTTCATGTGCATCATACGTGAAACGGAACGCATTCTTAGTACAGTAATGATGCTATACTCAAATGCGCATGCACGAAAAACCGCCTGGCCTAACATTGCTGGTTGCATATAGATGGCGTTGACAAAAATCATTTTAATCTCAAAGTAGCAAGTTAGTAAACAATAGAGACGTTGTCTCTAATAAGTAACATGTTTAAGTGTGTTTGGAAAAGTAGACATATATTATAATAACGTATTTTAAATAACGTATTTTCTTTACTGATATCTAGTTGATAATGAGCCATATTGTGATTGTGCGTGCCTTCAAGCCGGGCGACGAAATGAGCTGCAAAAAATTAATCGGAGACGGCGTGATGTCTTCGTTGAATTACACATTTCGTGGAATGTTACTCAAGGAGATAACTTTTCAGCTGATAATCTTGTTATCTGCAATAACATTTATTTTCTTTGGGATGCCATTAACTATTTGTCTCTTCGTTATACCTATAATTATTGTACTTACATATGCATGCACCTATATAAGTTTTGCTACAAAGCTAATGGAAATCAACGCTGAAGTAGCAAATATTCCAAGGTGATGTACTACTCTTGCATTTCACAACAATTCTATTCAAGAAATAATTTAATATGACTTGATTTTACTTTTCACAGACTTTATATGTCAAATGCTTTCTCCTGCTTTTGGGTTGCTGAGGCATTTGAGCCTTACCTGACGACACAAGATCCAAAAGAAATTCATTATACTGTAATGACAGAAGAACAGTTTTATGAAGCCAAAATGGATGTTTCTCTACAAGCCAAAAAAATAGTAGGGACTGTTGGTTTATGCAAGAGTTATAGATTAGATAGGAGTGCATGGATAAAAAGACTATGCGTACATGAGCAATATCAAAGAAAAGGTATAGCGGCATGCCTACTTAATACTGCTGTACAATTTGCAATTGATGCAGGATACAGCTGTGCCAATATAGTAGCTTCTGAATATACTGAAGGAGGTAAAGAACTGTGCCTTAAAAAAAGGATTTGAATTAAAGCAAATGTATCACAAGTCTATTCTAGGGTCATATATAACAATATTAATGTATGAATTAACTTATCAGATTAAACCTAATGAGGACGATTACTTTCCTCATTTTGAAAAAAATCTGAATGAGTTTTAAGAATTATAGATTTTCGTAGAATTTATAAATTTTAATAGTATGTTAGTCAAAACTTAATATAACAAATTTCTTGAGAAATTAATGAGACTGATTCAACCAATCGAATACTGTGTTCTTGTTAAGCAAAGTACCCAAACCAAATATTTTTACGTGATAGGCTTAGTATTATCTACCTTTGTATTAGCTAGCAATGATGGAAAAGATATTTTTTACGAAATAATCATTATTTCATATATTGTTAAACACGTTATAACATTCTATTAATGATACATAGATAATGAAAATAAAATATATTTTTCTTATATCTTGTTCTTGATAACTTCTTGGTATATGCGAATCTCTTTACCTTCCCAATGTTGATTCTTCACTGCCGATAGAAATCTAGAATAAACAATTCCCAGATTGAAATAAATTGAAAAATGTCAAAGTACATGATAGAGAAACTTATAAAGACTTACGATACTTGAATTTCCTTTAACAATGCCTTTTCCTTCTCCGTAATGCCATTTCGTATTACATCTAGATTCATTTGCAACTGTTTTGTAGTTTGTATTCCAACTAGATTTGTATCTACATCTGTATATTGCATAGAGTGCCATATTGCTAGTTTGGCAAACTCCACGTTACGTTCCTACGTCATTTTTCATGATGTTATTTTAATCAGTGATATTACGATATAAAGATAGATTTTGATTAATAGTATGCAGTAATACGCCTTTTTTAATTAACGTCTATTATTAATGAACCTGGCAGTATTGTGCAGCGTTTACACATTGTTTTTTCGTCTCATCGGAAGCCGGGTGCCAACTTGGCGGGCCATTATTCGTTAGAAGACCCATAGACAGCGTGGCAGCATTAATTAGACCAATTTTGTGTTTCTGTAAATTTAGAAATTAATGAAACTTTGTTATCAAGCTTGACAATGCAATCTACAAACCTTGAAGAATGGAACATATTCTAGTAAAGTGTCATCAATGAGAGTGAGTCTTGCATAACTCAGTATACAGGCTATATTTATATTACTTTTCTCGATACATTCCTTCAATATGGATACTGGATATCCAGTTATACCTATATGTTTGGCTCTACCCTCGGCCACTTGTCTCGACAATTCCGGCAAGGTTTGTGTAACTATTATATCTAATGAAGGTGCAAATTCTATATCGTGAACCTTTTATCATTAAAATTTTATCATTAAATTTTATCATTAAATTTTTTTAGATTTATTAATTTTGATTCAATTTTGATGAAATAAGAAATATTTTACCTGAATAACATCGACATAATCTACTCCCAGCCATTCTAAACTTTTCTTAAAACTCTCTCGAGTTTTCTCGATGGTAAAATTGAACATGTTATCACAATCTAATTCATATCTGCCGATTTTTGTTGCAATATAATAAGCCTCACGCGGGATTCCCTTTAATGCCTAATAATAAACATAAAAAATCGAGTTTACATCCGGTTATTGGGGTACAAAAAAAGAGTTGTATAAAAGCCACGTGAAAAAATTTTAGTGATAATCGCAAGGTCATAAGCGAATTGATCAACTACAATTGATTATTTTTAGACTGTAAGGAGAATAATTAATTCTGATTGGTTAATTTGTTTATGATCTTATGATTACGATTAAAATTTTTTCACATGCAATGGCCTTTACTCTTCTTAGTGAATTTTTATACTTTTCCGAGTGTCGCTTCGGATCGGCCTTGACCATACCACGGTGCTGTATCGATATAATTGATGCCTTGCTTTATCGCTCGACGTACAGCCTCGATAGCATCCGCTTCATCGTACGTGCTACAATATAATTAATTAAAATAAAATATCACACTCGCGCGAGTAATAAACAATTTTACCCATAATGACAACCGAGTGGACCACAACCAAATGCCAATTTGCTTACAAGCAGCCCCGTTTTCCCAAGCTCTTTGTATTCCATAGCTTTTACTGCTTCAGGGTCATGAAACCCTTCGACGTAAGTAGGTGGAAACATATTTCTAAAAAATAAATTATATAAAACAAGATCAAAATTAATATTCGCGACAGATTAATATTCTTGAACTGTTATCACACTAACGTGAGTGGAGTCTGATCGAATGCTTATCGTATATACAGTCATATATCCTTTTTTTTATTAAATGACTAAAAAGATAAGACACATACGCAAAATTCAGCCATTTGCATACTGCTGATCAGCCAATCGATGACGATTTATAAATTGTCGTGCGACGATTGCCATCTTACGATATAAATTAGCTCAACAATACGTTATCACGTTATGTACATAATACCAGTTACTGATTAAACGGAAATCTGTTCGAGTTCTGTTTTATCGATATATACATTTGCATAAAAATTTGTTTTCTTTTCTATTTTCTCTATTTTTCAAATTCACCTTGCATAAAAATTAATTGTTATTATATATAAAATGCTATTTTCTTTGAATCTAACATATGTTATGGTTTTATGGATTCAAATAGTGTTTTAATAATATTTTTGTATAATCAGATTAATAATAATAATATTTGTAACAATAATGTATAACAATTTGTAACATATGATAACCCAATAAACGAAATTTTCATTAATGATATTACGATTATAAACTAAAAATGGATCTTGACTGACAGTACATAACAATATATCTTTTTTAATTGATGTCTATTGTTAACGAACCTTGCAGTATCGCGCGACATTCGCGCATTGTTTCTTCATTTCATCGGAAGCTGCGTTTCAGCTTGACGGACCGTTATTCGTTGGAAATCTTATAGACAGTGTGATAGCATTAATTAGACCTATTTTGTGTTTCTGTAAATTCAGAATTAATGAAACTTTGTTATCAAGCTTGCTAATGATCTACAAATCTTGAAGAATGGAACATATTCTAGTAAAGTGTCATCAATGAGAGTGAACCTCGCGTAACTCAGGCTATATTTGTTACTTTTCTCGATACATTCTTTCAATATGGATATATTAATATGTAATTGTATGCATATGTATATTTATATATTTGGCTTTGCCCTTGGCCACTTGCGTTGACAATCCCGGCAAGGTTTGCGTGATTATTATTTAATGAAGATGCAAATTCTGTATAATGAATCTGTAAATTCATAGATATTTAATTTTTTAAAATAGATTTTTTTTGTCAATTTTGTCAGCTATTTTGATTTGTAAAATAAAAATATTTTACCTGAATAACATCGACATAATTCACTTCTCCAGCAATTCTAAACTTTTCTTAATATTCTCTCACGTTTTCTCGACGGTAAAATTAAACATGTTATCATAATCCAGTTCATATCTGTTAATTTTCGTTGCAATGTAATAAGCTTCACGTGGAATTTCCTTCAGTGCCTATAATAAACATGTGAAATAATCATCATCGATTATATATTAAGTATTGTTCGGAATTGCCATAAGTAAATCATGCCTGAGTGCGACGCGGAACACGCGAATTTCGTGACGATCGATTACCCTAAATCTCGATAAGGAGCTTCGTCTCTTCCAGGAAGTTGAAGAACTTCCGCGGAAACCATTTTTCGGAAGAAAAGCAATGCGAGGATCACTTTCTCGCAACTCACTTTCATAATGAGCAAAGTCGATTCATAGTTCGATTGCCTTTCAAGACGCCTCCTCCGTTGTATATCGGAGATTCTCACTCTTCTTTGTTTTCATGTCTATCTCGATTCGAACAGCGATTCGAGACTCAACCCGAAGTGGCAAAGGAATACCGTACTTTCATGAGCGAATGAAAGTTTAGGTCACATGGTTCCCGTCAACGATACGGAAATCTCTCGCTCACAGATCATTTACATTCCTCACCATGCGGTCATTCTCAATAACAGCACTACAACGCGTCTTCGAGTGATGTTCAATGCATCAAGCCGCGTCAAACGGATTCTTGTTAAATGATCATCTCTTAGTTGGGCCCAGATTGCAAACAGATCTAACGGCTATCATTCACGGGGATCATTCATCGTTGACGTCAGTATCGCTATGTCTATACTGTAGACATTGTTAAAATATACCGCCAAATTCTCGTCGAACGAGATGTCGATTTCCAAAGAATTTTGTGGCGATCAGATTCGTCCTAAAACGTTCAAACCTATCAGTTACTCATTGTCACATATGGAACTGCATGCGCTCCATATCTAGCTCTTCGCGTTCTTAAACAATTAGCTTTAACCGACGCCTCATTTCCGTTCTCTCAATCTGTTCTTCAGCATAACGTCTATATCGACGATTGCATCTTCGGAGCAGATGATAAACCCATGACCAAACAAACGCACAATCAATTGATGATGTTACTGAATTTCGCTGGATTCAATCCGCGAAAGTGATCCAGCAATTGTCTTCTACAAGATATCGCGTGATCATGGACTATCTCAAAGTAAATCATTGAAGTCCGAGGATCAATTCCAAGTTTTAGGACTCAAATGGCATTCACTGCGGGATGTCTTTCAATTTAATGTAACTTTATTTGATTTACTGCCATCAACAAAACGCACAGTTCTCCCCGCTCTCGAAATTGTTTGATCCAATGAGATGGCTCACTCCCATCATAATCACAGCAAAAATTCTGAAGGGTGCCGTCCGATGACGCGTATCTCTATACGCGCGTATTCGCGTATTAAAGCTCCGACCAATCACCGTCCGCCATTTTACGGACGCATCAATTTTGTTCTACTGTCCCATGCAGCGGATCACGCGTAAGCCACTTAGCGGATCACCAATCAACATAAACACCAATCACCGACAACATAAAATATTATTTTGCAAACAGAGCTAGCAAAACAATTCTGTAATTGGTAGAACAAAATTGACGTACGTAAACTGGCGAAAAGAAACAAATCTAAAAATCAATTCGGTAAAATTAAAATTT